TTGTCCAAAGTATGGAGAGGCCCGATGGGCTGCCCAGGGGTCAAAAGGCAGCCGCCGGTAGGGGTAGCAACTGCCCCTACCATAAGGCCATGTGGGGAAATGAGCGCGAGCCGGCAGGAATCTCCCACACCACATGTGCCTATGGCAGAGGTTGCATGCCGGTGTCTAGATAGCTGTCCAGAGACCGCTTGTGTTAGGGTCTCTCTAGGCACTTCCCTCACAGGCGTGGCCGATGAGCTGAAGGAGAGAATGTCCGCCTGGGCCAAGATGAAGAAGGAGAGTAGAGGACAACTAGTTTTATTAGACGTAGAGATTTTCAGAGGTAGAGTAGGGGCCCTAGTAGATAGTGGGGCCACGCGCAGCTATATCAGTAGAAAGGTGCTGCAAAAGTTGAAGTTGGGGCTAAAAGTCCAGAAGTTAGCAGACCCCATAGTAAGTATCCTCGCAGACAATCGCACGATGCGGGTAGAGGATTATGTAGAGGGAGTCCAGGCGTACTTTCGCCTAGAGAAAGATGGGAAAGTGGAGAAAGTTCTCCATTCCCCGACTCTCCTGGTAGAGGACAGCCTTCCTCTCGACATAGTCCTAGGAATGGACTGGGGAGAGGCAGCAGGGGCCACACTCCATTTGAGAGAGCACGAGTGTAGGCTCCCTAGTCCGTCAGGCGGTGTTAAGACTGCCCGTCTGTTTCATGTGTCAGGAATAGATAACTCCCTGGCGCATTGCTGCCTTAGCGCTCTTGAGTTCGCAAGATTAGTAGAGCAGCTGCTAGAGGAACAGGTTTTCGTAGCCTATGTGAGGCCAGTGACTGAGCCTAAGGAGGAGCAACCTATAGACCCTGCTATTGCCAAGCCTATGTGAGGCCAGTGACTGCTAAGCCGCCAACAGGAGTAGTACCGCGGCCAATCCAACATCGTATTGAAATAAAGCCTAGCAGTAGGACGCCTAAGGGAGCAGTGTATAGGATGTCCCCGCGGGAGTTGGAGGAGCTGCGTAAGCAATTAGACGAGCTCCTAAAAAAGGGTTGGATTAGGCCCACTTCGTCTCCATTTGGGGCACCTGTTCTGTTTGTCCCCAAGAAGGAAGGAGAGCTCAGAATGTGTATAGACTATAGGGGTCTCAATGCTATCACAGTGAAGAACGCGGAACCTTTGCCCCGTATAGATGATCTCTTAGATTGGGTGCAGGTTTGCAAGTATTTTTCGAAGATAGATCTGAAGTCTGGATATCATCAGATAGAGGTCCATCCTGATGATCAGTATAAGACCGCGTTCCAGACTAGATATGGGCACTACGAGTTCATAGTCATGCCCTTTGGACTAACCAACGCGCCAACGACTTTTCAGCGTTGAATGAATGACTTGTTTAGGCTGTGGTTAGACAGATTTGTAGTAGTCTACTTAGATGACATTCTAGTGTTCAGCAGGACCCTCCAGGAGCATGAGGGTCATCTGAGGCAGGTATTGGAGAAGCTGAGAGAGGCTAATTTCAAGATTAACGCAAAGAAGTGCAAGTGGGCAAAGACCCAAGTTCTATGTTTAGGCCATGTCTTAGACGGAAACGGCATCAAACCAGAAGATAGTAAAATTGCAGAGATTCGAGATTGGCGTACACCCCACACGTTGACAGAGTTGCGGTCGTTCTTAGGCCTAGCTAACTATTGCAGGAAGTTTGTAAGAAACTTCTCCACCATCGCTGCTCCCCTTCGCAGGTTGTTGAAGAAAGACACAATCTGGAAGTGGGATAAGGACTGCACGTCTGCTATGAAGAAGTTGAAGCAGGTGTTGATAGAGTACCCGGTCCTTAAGGTAGCCGATCCGTCCTTACCTTTCGTTGTCACCACTAACGCGAGCCAGTATGGTATAGGTGCTGTATTACAGCAAGATGATGGCAATGGATATAGACCCGTAGAGTTCATGTCTGCTAGGATGCCTTCAGAGAAGGTAGCGACGTCTACCTACGAGAGGGAACTCTACGCTCTGAGGCAAGCGTTAAAGCACTGGAAGCACTACTTGCTTGGGAGGCACTTCAAAGTCTATTCAGACCACAAGACATTAAGGTGGTTGAAGACTCAGGCCAAGATGACACCTAAGCTGACTAGGTGGGCCGCAGAGTTAGACCAATATGATTTTGAGCTCAAGCCTGTCAAAGGGAAGTATAATGTAGTTGCGGACGCTCTGAGTAGGAGAGCTGACTACTTTGGAGCGATAGTTCATTATCTGGACGTAGGGAGCGACCGGCAACAGAAAGTTAGAGAGGCTTATGTGCAGGACCCTATCTATAGTGACCTCCTCAAGAGAGTAAAGGAGACCCCAGAGTTAGAACCAGACTACCGCACTACTGATGGGCTACTATTCGAGAAGACTAACGTAGTTGACCGATTGTGCGTCCCTAACAGTGAAGAGATCCGTAGTTTGATCCTAGGGGAATGCCACGATACTGAGGGACATTTTGGTTGCCAAAAGACTTTAGCTAACCTCATGCGCGCGTACATATGGTCGGGGATGAAGGCCGACTGCATAGAGTATGTTCGCAGTTGTAAGGTCTGCCAGAGAAATAAGACCTCTACGTGTGCCCCTCTAAGTCTTCTCAGACCCTTGCCTATTCCTGATCAGCCAGGAGATTCAGTGTYCATTGACTTTATGGACACCCATGTCAAGAGTAGGCACGGCAAGAGCCAAGTCATGGTAATAGTTGATAGATTCAGTAAATATGTTATTTTTGTTCCTTTGCCCTCAAAGGCACGTACAAAGTTAGTTATTCAGAAGTTCTTTGATCATTGGGTCAGTGAACACGGGATTCCACTGTCTATAGTTAGTGATAGAGACACCCGGTTCACTAGTCAGAACTGGCAGGAGTTGATGAGAGTCTATGGCTCCAAGTTGTTGATGTCATCTGCCCGTCATCCAGAGACTCACGGTCAGACTGAACAGATGAACAAGATCCTGCAACAAGTTCTGCGTATGTACATTAGACCGGATTAGATCAATTGGGATGAGATGTTGCCCAAAGTAGCCAATGCGTACAACAACAGCGTACACTTGTCTACCTGTTGCACTCCCAACGAGTTGCACAAGTCCTTTAGACCACGCAGACCGTTTGAAGGACTTAACCGGGATCAGATTCACAGGCTTTGCGTTACAGCATGAGAAAGAGTTGGCTACCGTAGTAGAGAACCTCAGGAAAGCCCAGCACCGAATGATAGAACAAGCTAATAAGCACCGTTGCCCCTCACAGTTTCAAGTAGGCGACCTGGTCTGGGTCAAGTCTAAAGAGTTTGCTCCTGAGGAAAACATCTCGCAAAAGTTACTGCCCACGTATAGAGGACCGTGGCCAGTTCTAGCTGTTAAGGGCGGAGAGGATGGACCGTCCTACACAGTAGAGATCCCAGCACACCTCCACACCTACCCTGTGTTTCATGCTTCAAAGTTGTTGCCGTGTGTCACAAGTCAACAATTTCCATCTAGGAGATCCATGATTCCTTGACGGCATTGTAGGTGAAGACGTGTTCAGAACAGGAGGTAGAGGTCGTCTGCAGAAGCAGTACAAGGTTCGATTTGCTTATCAGGAACTAGAAGACGACTGCTGGTTTACTAGAACCGAACTTCTAGAAACAGCTCCCGACGTAGTTAGAGCCTACGAGAGAGATAAGAAAGGCAAAGGTCCTGCCTTGGACTGAGTTATTCTCGGAGGACCTCGAATTTAGGCCGGTGGGAGTGAAACGGGTTTCACCTGTTAGCAGTAGCGAATGCAGATCCCAGGGCTCGATCCCTAGTTCTCACCTTACCTGTGTACAGTATCTGTGTTGACCCGGAGGATTTTGACAGTTGTTGTTGTCTGTTGGCGGTCTGTGTAGTGGTAGGGGTTCGATCTGTAGGTCTGTCGAGTAGGAGTCACAGCCCTGTAAAGGTCGTAGCTATAGGGATCGTGAAAGGTCAGGGTCGTAGCTCCTACAGTCCTGAAAGGTCAAGGTCGTAGCTGCTACAATACTCGAAAGGCCAAGTCCACAAACTTCCGGAAGGTCCGGAAGTGGCCTTTCGAAGCTGCTCACGTTTGAGGCAGAGGCAAGTGGGCAAGTGGTGAAGTCTACCTGTGCTGAGTCAGCAGTCCCAGTCCCAGTCAGTCCTAGTCCAGTCCAGCAAGTACCGTACGGGACTGTGTGCACCACGGGCATGGGAAAGGGCCAGACCAACGAGCTACAGAAGTATAAATTGAGAGGCAGCGACCAGCCATTCATTCATTCCTGCAAAAGCCATGCGGAACCGCTGCCATAGCGGCTTGTGCGAGGTGGTCTGCAGTGAGCCCGAGGACGAAGTGGGCGAGAAGGAGGTTAGCCATAGCGATAGAGTAGCAGCGGCCATAGCCGCCATAGCTGTAGGTGTGTGCGGCTGTGTGCGAGTGTGCAGAGTGATGCGTGTGGGGTATCCAGGGTGGTCCGGTGTGTGAACAGCAGTGTTGTGTGAGTGACGAACAGCGATTTGTATAGGCGCTGATGCGCCATAGCCGTCTAAAGTGAGATTGTATCTGAACTCTGTTTCTGGTTACCATATCTCTGAGTTTTGAGTGGGCGCTTGTTGCCAGTTTGCTGCGCAACCTGTTAGCATGCATGTGAAGTGTGAATGAAAGTGAGTCTGATTGCACAGGCAGACATGCACTCAGAAAGGCACCCCTGGAAACCAGCAAGTGCGCACACACACAGAAATCTCAGGAGAAGGCGGGAATCTCAGCACGGCACACATTCCAGTGGCAAAACTCAGAAATCAGCAGGGTTCTCAGTCTGCGTTTTTGCAGGTCATTACATCTGGATGTTTTTGAACTTTTTTGAAGTTTTCTTTAGTTTCTCTGGTAATTTCTTTTGCAGGTGAAGCTCCAACAGGTCACTCAGTAGTGGATGATATAATCAATCAACATTTGAAAGAAATTCCTCTCATTATGATGTTAAATCAATTTGGAAATTTTGGACGTGTAATGGATGGAACTTTCCATGTGTTGTGTTGCAGGGCACGATCGATGGGTGTGGGACTGTGCATTCTCGGTTGATGGGGCCTACCTTGTCACAGGTTTGTTAGCAGACCTTGCCTCTTGTAGGCGAGCCTTTTGAATATGTGCGGATGGTGACAGTTCCTAACCAGTGATGCTTTTGATCATACTATGGGAGGAGGATCTGTACTGTAGTTCATGACCTCAGGATGCTGTGCTTGCACTTGATGGTCATGAAACGATTTTCACCTTTGCAGAGGCAGATGCAGATTCCAGGGATCGATCCCCCGACCTTACCTTACCCATGTACAGTATCGAGTTGACCCCGAGTGTTTGAACCCGTGACCTGTGTTTCGTTAGTTGTTGTTTGTCTGTCGCAGGACTGTGTAGATGTAGGGATTCGATCTGTAGGTCTGTCGAGTAGGGGTCACAGCTTTGKAGAGGTCGTAGCTATAGGCATTCTGAAAGGTCAAGGTCATAGCTGCTACAGTCCTGAAAGGTCAAGGTCGTAGCTGCTACAGTACCCGAAACACCAAGCCCACAGACTTCCGGAAGCTCTGGAAGCAGCCTTTCGAAGTTTGTCTCACGTTTAGTCAGAGGCGAGTGGGCAAGTGGTGGGCCTTTAGTCAGAGGCAAGTGGGCAAGTGGTGAGCCAACCGCGTTACGTCGGCAGTGCGACTGCATCGAGTTGGCAGTGCAAACCCATGCAGTCAGCGGCACCGGTCCCAGTCAGTCAGAGTCCAGTCGAGCAAGTACCGTGTGGGACTGTGTGCACCAAGGGCCTGGGAAAGGGGCAGACCAATGAGGTACAGAAGTATAAATCAATAGGCAGCACCCAGCCATTCATTCATTGGCTGCGTAAGCCATGCGGAAGCGCTGCTACAGCGTCTTGTGCGAGGGTGGTCTGCAGGTTGCCCGAAGACGAAGTGGGCTGAACGGAGATCGTAGCCATAGTCAGTAGTGGTAGTGCGGCCATAGCCGCTGTAGGAGGAAGTAGACAGCGCGTATGTGTGTGGTGGTATTCAAGGTGATCCAGAGTGAGCGTGTGTGAACAGTGGGGTTGGACACTGTGACAAAGGTTGGGATGTTCAGGCGCTGATGAGCCATAGCCTGTTGAAGAGAACTTGCATCTCAATTGTGTTCTTGATTTCCATGTCTCTAAGCTTTGAGTGGGCGCCATTGCGCCAATGTGAGTCTCCATCTGTTTGCATGTTTGCGAAGTGGAAAGAAAGCGAGTCTGATTGCATTGGTATCGGAGCTGGTTCCCATTACCGCATGCGCCGTCGTTGTTGCCAGCGGGAAGGAGATGCGCGCGCCAGTTAGGCGCCATAGCCAAGTGGCACCATCGAAGAACATCAGCCATAGCTGCGCTGCGGAGTGAGGTGCTGAGTACCTGCACAGAAGACAACGACGGGGAGAGAGAGAGAGAGAGAGAGAGAGAGAGAGAGAGAGAGAGAGAGAGAGAGAGAGAGAGAGAGAGAGAGAGAGAGAGGAG